GGTTTTGGCGGCCGGATTAACGAGCTTGGATCTTTGTATGCGAGGACGGGCTGCTCACGCAGATTCTTAGTTGTGAGGGATTTTGTGAGATAGAAGCATAGTTAGGTGTTGTTTTGTGAGCTAGAAACATAGTTAGGTGTCGTTTTGTGAGATAGAAACATTGTTAGGTGTTGTTTTGTGAGCTAGAAACATAGTTAGGTGTCGTTTTGTGAGATAGAAACATTGTTAGGTGTCGTTTTGTGAGATAGAAACATTGTTAGGTGTCGTTTTGTGAGATAGAAGCATAGTTAGGTGTCGTTTTGTGAGATAGAAACATTGTTAGGTGTCGTTTTGTGAGATAGAAGCATAGTTAGGTGTCGTTTTGTGAGATAGAAACATTGTTAGGTGTTGTTTTGTGAGATAGAAACATTGTTAGGTGTTGTTTTGTGAGCTAGAAACATAGTTAGGTGTCGTTTTGTGAGATAGAAACATAGTTAGGTGTCGTTTTGTGAGATAGAAACATTGTTAGGTGTCGTTTTGTGAGATAGAAACATTGTTAGGTGTCGTTTTGTGAGATAGAAGCATAGTTAGGTGTCGTTTTGTGAGATAGAAACATTGTTAGGTGTCGTTTTGTGAGATAGAAGCATAGTTAGGTGTCGTTTTGTGAGATAGAAACATTGTTAGGTGTCGTTTTGTGAGATAGAAGCATAGTTAGGTGTTGTTTTGTGAGATAGAAACATAGTTAGGTGTCGTTTTGTGAGATAGAAACATAGTTAGGTGTCGTTTTGTGAGATAGAAGCATAGTTAGGTGTCGTTTTGTGAGATAGAAACATTGTTAGGTGTCGTTTTGTGAGATAGAAGCATAGTTAGGTGTCGTTTTGTGAGATAGAAACATAGTTGTGTCGTTTTGTGAGCTAGAAGCATAGTTAGGTGTCGTTTTGTGAGATAGAAACATAGTTATATTGGATGAAATAGAAATATATTGGTGTATAATAGGTGTATATTGGATGAAATAGAAATATAGGCTGGAGGAGCAACAGCGGCTTGTGTGTGTGTAGGCCACCTGCGCCAGGGTAGTTGATCAATGCCTCTCTAAGGTATCGCCAGACACAACAGTCGAACCGCGACGCCGGTATCCTTCGAGGGCCAGCAAGAGGTCTCGTCCAGGTCTCTCCCGATCTCGCTCGGGAGATACCAACCAGGAGGCCAGATTCACGAAGCAGTTACGCAAGTACTTACGAACGTGTACATCTTTCCTCAATCTTTGACGGCTTTGGTTACATTTATTAAACAGTTTACAAGCATGAAAACTTGCCAATCAACTGTTGTTATTGTTATAAACAGCCTCCTGGTGCTTCGGAACTCATTAACTGTTTAATAATTGTAAACAAAGCTGTCAAAGATTGAGAAAAGATGTACAGGTTCGTAAGTGCTTGCGTAACTGCTTCGTAAATCTGGCCTCCTGGTTGATATCTCCCGGGCGAGATCGGGAGAGACCTGGACGAGACCTCTTGCTGGCCTCGAAGGATACCGGCCCCAGGACCCCCACACCAGGTCCCACCTACCACACCTGGGGTCACCATCAGAGTGGACCCCACACTCGTCAGACCATATACCACATGACTCTGGGATCTGGCGGCCCAAGTCACCCGGACCGCCAGTCGTTGCCGGGAACCTTCACAAAGAACAAAGGCTCCATAACTCCATGTTCTTCAACGAGTCAGGACAACACTGCCGCGAGACAATCGGCTCCCCGGAGCTACCCGCCTGTTCCTTAACCGCCAGTGACTATTGCGATTTCAAAACACTCGATTGATATCTCAGCAGCAACAACTGCCACGACGATCCACACACACCCTTGAGGAACAGTGATTGGAGAAGACACCATATACCTGGACAACAAAGAAGTAACTAGCCCCTTCTCGATGACCGGACAAAACCGATGTAATGCGCCATTGGCCACCAGCAACGCGAAGCCGACGCCTCTAAGACAGACACAGCGCCACATACACCCGAGGCCGACGCCTCTAAGACAGACACAGCGCCACATACACCCGAAGCCGACGCCTCTAAGACAGACACAGCGCCACATACACCCGAAGCCGACGCCTCTAAGACAGACACAGCGCCACATACACCCGAGGCCGATGCCTCTAAGACAGACACAGCGCCACATACACCCGAAGCCGACGCCTGTAAGACAGACACAGCGCCACATACACCCGAAGCCGACGCCTCTAAGACAGACACAGCGCCACATACACCCGAGGCCGACGCCTCTAAGACAGACACAGCGCCACATACACCCGAAGGCGACGCCTCTAAGACAGACACAGCGCCACATATACCCGAGGCCGACGCCTCTAAGACAGACACAGCGCCACCTACACCAGCATGACCGCCGACCTCTGCGCCACTAGCCTCCTGCCGGAGAAACAATGGCCACCAAACTTTTAACCATCCCGTTGCTCCATGGCCGCCCCGGCTTGGTGCCTTCTTTTGGTAATTACTTCCTCATTCCCCATCCATATCGTGTTTGGGAATTTTCATTCCGCATGCTTCCTCCTCCTCCCATCCTTTGTCAAAGTCTTTGGTCATGGAATTGGGGAGTGGGAAGTTGGCGAAATTTTTTTTTTTTTTTGGTTGGCGAATTGAATTTTTTTTGTTTGGTTGGTGATTGAAAATTTGGTGATATGAAATTTTAAGTCCAGTTACACACTTCCTGGGGAGCTGATACACCCTCCTCTATTAACATTCATAGTGTTAATAAGGAAAGCCATAGTGTCTTAGAGTCCACCATGGCTGTCCCCTCTACTCCTCTGCCTCTCCGTCGGCTTTTCGACTCCACACTGGGTTACGCCTCGGCTCGTGTGCCTTTCGTTCCTGCCTTCCCGAAAGGAAGGCAGGAACCTGCCTTCCTGCCTGTATGTGAGGAACCCCTTAATTGTTTCTACCGTAGCTTTCCCATACGTCCGTGTTTTCCAGGACACGTCCTGGAAAACATCGCCCCCAGAAGGGCGGAGGCAGAACAACAGCAACCAGGCCTACACTTCCCTAGTCTGTGCTATTTTGGGGGAGGTTTTTTTTATAGGAAGGAGCTGGGAACAGCACGCATTGGGTCATCGACTTTGTTGTGAGTAATTAATCAACAGGAGGTGGGTGGCAGTGGGGGGAGGGGTGAATATTGTCTTCGAGGGGGGGGGGGGAGGGGAGGAATGAATATTGTCTTCGAGGGGGGGGAGGGGAGGGGTGAATATTGTCTTCGAGGGGGGGGGAGGGGAGGGGAGGAATGAATATTGTCTTCGAGGGGGGGGAGGGGAGGGGAGGAATGAATATTGTCTTCGAGGGGGGAGGGGGAGGAGTGAATATTGTCTTCGAGGGGGGGGAGGGGAGGAATGAATATTGTCTTCGAGGGGGGGGAGTGAATATTGTCTTCGAGGGGGGGGGGGGAGGAATGAATATTGTCTTCGAGAGGGGGGGGAGGGGAGGGGAGGAATGAATATTGTCTTCGAGGGGGGGAGGGGAGGGGAGGAATGAATATTGTCTTCGAGGGGGGAGGGGGAGGAGTGAATATTGTCTTCGAGGGGGGGGAGGGGAGGAATGAATATTGTCTTCGAGGGGGGGAGTGAATATTGTCTTCGAGGGGGGGGGGAGGGGAGGAATGAATATTGTCTTCGAGAGGGGGGGGGAGGGGAGGGGAGGAATGAATATTGTCTTCGAGGGGGGGGAGGGGAGGGGAGGAATGAATATTGTCTTCGAGGGGGGGGGGAGGGGAGGGGAGGAATGAATATTGTCTTCGAGGGGGGAGGGGGAGGAGTGAATATTGTCTTCGAGGGGGGGAGGGGAGGAATGAATATTGTCTTCGAGGGGGGGGAGTGAATATTGTCTTCGAGGGGGGGGAGGGGAGGAATGAATATTATCTTCGAGAGGGGGGGGAGGGGAGGAGTGAATATTGTCTTCGAGGGGGGGGGAGGGGAGGAATGAATATTGTCTTCGAGGGGGGGGAGGGGAGGCGTGAATATTGTCTTCGAGAAGGGAAAGGGTGACTATTAAAATCCGAGAAGACGGTAGACTACTACTAGCACCACTGCTGACACCCTGTTGGCTTCAGCCTTCTCTCTCGTGCTTCGACTCTGGTTGCTTGGCTCTTTGGCTGCTGGATAGGGATTCACTGTCTGTACTTACCTAGTTGTGCTTGCGGGGGTTGAGCTCTGGCCCTTTGGTCCCGCCTCTCAACCGTCAATCAACTGGTGTATAGGTTCCTGAGCCTACTGGGCTCTATCATATCTTCACTTGAAACTGTGTATGGAGTCAGCCTCCACCACATCACCCCCTAATACATTCCATTTGTCAACCACTCTGACACTAAAAGAGTTCTTTCTAATATCTCTGTGGCTCATTTGGGCACTCAGTTTCCACCTGTGTCCCCTAGTGCGTGTGTCGCTTGTGTTAAATAGACTGTCTTTATCTACCCTATCAATTCCCTTCAGAATCTTGAATGTGGTGATCATGTCCCCCCTTACTCTTCTGTCTTCCAGCGAAGTGAGGTTTAATTCTCGTAGTCTCTCCTCGTAGCTCATACCTCTCAGCCCGGGTACTAGTCTGGTGGCAAACCTTTGAACCTTTGTGTGTGTGTGTGTGTGTGTGTGTGTGTGTGTGTGTGTGTGTGTGTGTGTGTGTGTGTGTGTGTGTGTGTGTGTCTATCTCTCTGTGTGTCTCACTCACTCACACGGTGAATCCCTACCTACCTCCTCCCATTTCCTGATTTGAAAAGTGATCTTATGTTGCGTGGTCATATCTTGCCAACAGTCTCACCACCCCCACCACCACTCACCAACCAGAAAACCATAATAAACCTCACCAAAAATCCCTACACTTTTTCCCTCTCCTCTTCGCCCCTCTTCCTCCTCCCCCACATTCTTTCTCCCCCTCTACTCTTTCCCTTCCTTTAGCACTTCTCCTCCATTTGCAACTGGTTCTATGTGAAGTTTGGAAGTTAGTATTCCTCTGATTCTTGGTTCTTAGATTTGTCGTCTCCTACGTTCCTGCCTCTTCCGTCTCCTACGTTCCTGCCTCTTCCGTCTCCTAGGTTCCTGCCTCTTCCGTCTCCTACGTTCTTGCCTCTTCCGTCTCCTACGTTCCTGCCTCTTCCGTCTCCTACGTTCTTGCCTCTTCCATCTCCTACGTTCTTGCCTCTTCCGTCTCCTACGTTCCTGCCTCTTCCGTCTCCTACGTTCTTGCCTCTTCCGTCTCCTACGTTCTTGCCTCTTCCGTCTCCTACGTTCTTGCCTCTTCCGTCTCCTACGTTCCTGCCTCTTCCGTCTCCTACGTTCCTGCCTCTTCCGTCTCCTACGTTCTTGCCTCTTCCGTCTCCTACGTTCCTGCCTCTTCCGTCTCCTACGTTCTTGCCTCTTCCGTCTCCTACGTTCTTGCCTCTTCCGTCTCCTACGTTCTTGCCTCTTCCGTCTCCTACGTTCTTGCCTCTTCCGTCTCCTACGTTCCTGCCTCTTCCGTCTCCTACGTTCTTGCCTCTTCCGTCTCCTACTTTCCTGCCTCTTCCGTCTCCTTCGTTCCTGCCTCTTCCGTCTCCTACGTTTCTGCCTCTTCCGTCTCCTACGTTCCTGCCTCTTCCGTCTCCTACGTTCCTGCCTCTTCCGTCCCCTTCGTTCCTGCCTCTTCCGTCTCCTACGTTTCTGCCTCTTCCGTCCCCTTCGTTCCTGCCTCTTCCGTCCCCTTCGTTCCTACCCTCTCCATTGTTGTCGGTGCACACCTCTCCATTTTTCCCTCTCTTTTCTTCCCCGTTCGTTTCCCTATAAGTCGCCCTTACCTTTTGTTTCCCTTTTGTTTACCTTTTTGTTTACCTTTAGTTTCCCTCCCCTTTTGTTTACCTTTAGTTTCCCTCCCCTTTTGTTTGTTCTTGTACCTCGCCTCCACTTTCATTTCTTGTTGTATTGTTATCTCCCATTCTGTATCCTTGTTCCCTGCTCATTTATCATATTCATCCTTGCTTTCCGTTGCACCTGTTTCGTAAACCTTCTCCGACCCCCCCTTTCATTCCCTCGTTTCTTCCTTCTCTCTTGCCCATTTCCGTCCCTTCTTCCAGCTCCCCCTTCCCGTAAGATTATCCCTTCCATCTGTACAAGGAAACATTCTCCTGACGCTAATTGAGATTTAAGCTGATTAAAACAATAAAGATCTATAATTAGCGTGAATTTAATAACAGCTTGACTGGAGAAATAAACTCAGCGTAGCTCACGTTCGTCTTCTGGGAAGCTGGACCGCGGTCTGGTGCGGCCAGTAGGACGTGAGACCTCGATCTCGCGGTATCTGGTGCGGCCAGTAGGACGTGAGACCTCGATCTCGCGGTATCTGGTGCTGCTAGTAAGCGAGACTTCGATCTCGCGGTATCTGGTGCTGCTAGTAAGCGAGACCTCGATCTCGCGGTATCTGGTGCTGCCAGTAAGCGAGACTTCGATCTCGCGGTATCTAGTGCTGCCAGTAAGCGAGACTTCGATCTCGCGGTATCTGGTGCTGCCAGTAAGCGAGACCTCGATCTCGCGGTATCTGGTCCGGCCAGTAAGCGAGACCTCGATCTCGCGGTATCTGGTCCGGCCAGTAAGCGAGACCTCGATCTCGCGGTATCTGGTGCTGCTAGTAAGCGAGACCTCGATCTCGCGGTATCTAGTGCTGCCAGTAAGCGAGACCTCGATCTCGCGGTATCTAGTGCTGCCAGTAAGCGAGACCTCGATCTTCCGGTATCTAGTGCTGCCAGTAAGCGAGACCTCGATCTTCCGGTATCTAGTGCTGCCAGTAAGCGAGACCTCGATCTTCCGGTATCTAGTGCTGCCAGTAAGCGAGACTTCGATCTCGGGGTATTTGGTCCGGCCAGTAAGCGAGACCTCGATCTCGCGGTATCTAGTGCTGCCAGTAAGCGAGACCTCGATCTCGCGGTATCTAGTGCTGCCAGTAAGCGAGACCTCGATCTCGCGGTATCTAGTGCTGCCAGTAAGCGAGACCTCGATCTTCCGGTATCTAGTGCTGCCAGTAAGCGAGACCTCGATCTTCCGGTATCTAGTGCTGCCAGTAAGCGAGACCTCGATCTTCCGGTATCTAGTGCTGCCAGTAAGCGAGACCTCGATCTTCCGGTATCTAGTGCTGCCAGTAAGCGAGACCTCGATCTTCCGGTATCTAGTGCTGCCAGTAAGCGAGACCTCGATCTTCCGGTATCTAGTGCTGCCAGTAAGCGAGACTTCGATCTCACGGTATTTGGTCCGGCCAGTAAGCGAGACCTCGATCTCGCGGTATCTGGTCCGGCCTGTAAGCGAGACCTCGATCTCAGTAACGAAGAGACGAAGGTGGATAGATAAACATATCAGTTGGTTGAACACAAATTCCGCTAAATAATAGATTGGAGGAACTATTTGTATAGTTTGTATATATATATATATAGATATATTTATATATTTATTCATATAGTTTGAGGTAATTATTAGTGTTTTATATATTGGGGTTGCTTTCATAGAGCTCCGTTTTCACATGTTCGTTGTAGGGTTAACTATAGTAAGCTCACCCTATACTCTCGACTAATAATAGGTCGCGTTTTTTACCTCATGGTACCCTACGTTACAAATGCAACCTAGTAATTAACAAATTTTTTTAAATTTAAATTTTGCCCCGAGGGGCGAGTTTATTGGGCAGCGCCACTCATCTTGTGAGTGGACACACCGCCATAGTGACAGTATTGGGCAGCGCCACTCATCTTGTGAGTGGACACACCGCCATAGTGACAGTATTGGGCAGCGCCACTCATCTTGTGAGTGGACACACCGCCATAGCAGCATGTACAACACTCCCCAATAGGAAGAAAACCCGCTGGGTTGTTCATCCTGTCACTTGTACCCAGACACAGCTGGGACTTGCTTAACTGTCTCAAGTGAACAGCTCCTCAAACAAGAAGATTAACATCTATCAACCCTTAAAAGCTTATGTTATCTTGCGGGTGCAAAATGGGGAAATCTTTTAAGAACAGTATCAATATTTAACAAATAGTGTTTTCCTAACTCAAACAATGTGGGGTTTATTATTGTACACATTTTCCTAATGTCTCTCAGGTGTTCACATTCACGTAGATAGTGGTCAAGGCGGTGTCCATCACGCTCACCACAGATTCTGCAACTTCGCTGATCAACTGTTGTTTCCATTCCAAATCGCCATGGATATTTGTATCCAAGACGGATTCTTGCTATTACTGATTCTCTCCCTCGTCCTCCTCCTCTTCGGCCATAATGATTGGGATTGCCAGCTGCAACCATGTTGTACCATCGTATAGATTCACTGGTTTGTGCTTCTATCCTCCTTTCCTCAGTTACCTTGTCACGGTGATGTTGCCTGACAATACCTCTAATTTGTAGTAGAGTCTTGGGTATGAAGTATTCAATATGGTCTCCTTCAGCGCCCTCAGCAGCCAGCACATCTGCTCGTTCATTCCCACATATTCCAACATGGGAGGGGATCCACAGAAACTTGATGACTCTTCCCTGATTGGTAAGTACTCTCACAGCTCTTAATTTCAGCGACTATTGCAAGATTTTCTGCCTGATTTTTACTTAGGCTTTGCAGTGCTGCTTTTGAATCGGTGCAAATCACTGCACCATTAGTGTTCCGTTCAAGAAACCTTAACTCCATAACAATGGCAGTTAGCTCTGCTTGTGTTGAAGAGGCATAGTTCTCAATACGCGCTTTTTCTTCATTTCTGCGTTGGAAAGTATTATCCTTGTTCTATCGCTGTTCCCTTGTTCGTGTTCCACCTGTGTGCCCTTGTTCGTGTTCCATCGCTGTTCCCTTGTTCGTGTTCTATCGCTGTTCCCTTGTTCGTGTTCCACCTGTGTGCCCTTGTTCGTGTTCCACCGCTGTTCCCTTGTTCGTGTTCCACCTGTGTTCCCTTGTTCATGTTCCACCCATCCCAGATAATCTCGTTTTCTACCTTCTCAATTACCTAAAGAAATTTGCAGGTGTTGTTCAGGGGTTACTGAGGCGTATTAGATAACTGTTCTTTGGTCATTTCTCTTTGAATATTCATTATCCTAAAAGTCTTCTGACAACGGCGATGTTCGCATAACAAAATCCGGATGGAAATGGATACATATTGAGATTATACGCTGGACCCGCGAACCTGGACTCAACGACCATTCGTACAGCCGACCAGACCAATGATGAACTCTTTGGGCACTCGCATTATCGACCGGACCTGTGAAGTTAAGAAACGCGGGTTCGATCCCAATAGAACAGGATACAGCATCAACAAGACTGAGGAAAACAGGATACAGCATCAACAGGACTGAGGAGAACATGATACAGCATCAACAGGACTGAGGAGAACAGGATACAGCATCAACAGGACTGAGGAGAACATGATACAGCATCAACAGGACTGAGGAGAACATGATACAGCATCAACAGGACTGAGGAGAACAGGATACAGCATCAACAGGACTGAGGAGAACAGGATACAGCATCAACAGGACTGAGGAGAATAGGATACAGCATCAACAGAACTGAGGAGAACAGGATACAGCATCAACAGGACTGAGGAGAACAGGATACAGCATCAACAGGACTAAGGAGAACAGGATACAGCATCAACAGGACTAAGGAGAACAGGATATAGCATCAACAGGACTGAGGAGAACATGATACAGCATCAACAGGACTGAGGAGAACAGGATACAGCATCAACAGGACTGAGGAGAACAGGATACAGCATCAACAGGACTGAGGAGAACCGGATACAGCATCAACAGGACTGAGAAGAACAGGATACAGCATCAACAGGACTGAGGAGAACAGGATACAGCATCAACAGGACTGAGAAGAACAGGATACAGCATCAACAGGACTGAGAAGAACAGGATACAGCATCAACAGGACTGAGGAGAACAGGATACAGCATCAACAGGACTGAGAAGAACAGGATACAGCATCAACAGGACTGAGGAGAACAGGATACAGCATCAACAGGACTGAGGAGAACAGGATACAGCATCAACAGGACTGAGAAGAACAGGATACAGCATCAACAGGACTGAGGAGAACAGGATACAGCATCAACAGGACTGAGGAGAACAGGATACAGCATCAACAGGACTGAGGAGAACAGGATACAGCATCAACAGGACTGAGGAGAACAGGATACAGCATCAACAGGACTGAGGAGAACAGGATACAGCATCAACAGGACTGAGGAGAACAGGATACAGCATCAACAGGACTGAGAAGAACAGGATACAGCATCAACAGGACTGAGGAGAACAGGATACAGCATCAACAGGACTGAGGAGAACAGGATACAGCATCAACAGGACTGAGGAGAACAGGATACAGCATCAACAGGACTGAGACGATGAAATAGTTCATTAGGTCAAAACCAGTTAAAATAAATCCTTGAGCAACAGAAAACGTTAAATCACGATTACCATGTTACGTATATTGGCCTTCGTGGGCCAGGATGTACGAAACCTCTGCATCTTTCCCCAATCATGGCGGCTTTTTTTTACAATTATTAAACAGTGTACGAGCTCCGAAGCACTACGAGGTTGTTTATAACAATAACATCCTTGGGTTGTGAAGTTTCCCAGCTTGTAAACTGTTTAGTAAATGTAAACAAAGCCGCTATGATTGAGGAAAGATGTACAGGTTTCGCAAGTGGACACGTAAATGATTAATGACTCCTGCTCCTGGTATATTAGGTCATTACTCTAAGGTAAGAGAGGGGTATCTTGGCCCTAAGGTAAGAAGGTATTTATTACACGGATCCTTTTATATATATATATATATATATATATATATATATATATATATATATATATATATATATATATATATATATATATATATATATATATATATATATATATATATATATATATATATAAATTGTTAGCGGGAAGGCTTGGTGGACGGTCAAGTTTGATGGTTAGGTTAGGTTAGGTTAAGTTGGGTTAGGTTAGAACAGGTTAGGTTAAAACAGGTTAGGTTAGGGTTTGTTTACAGAGTAAGGATGATGTATGGGGGTCCACACAATATTCTCAGGTCTTAGCCCCTACTCGGCCGGTGTGGGTGCCTGGTGACGGTGAATAATGGCAGACACAGCCGCCCCGCTCCGGCCGGCGTCCCTCTCCACCCACGCCTCGTCCCTGTTAATTGATAACAGGTCAGCAGCATCACCCTTCGTCCCCTCCTTCGTCCACTCCTGCAGGAGCAGCCCCAGGCTGGTACTGGAGTGTGAGGAGAGGAGAACAGTCTGTTCCAGGCTGCTTGTGATAGGAGCGGTCGGGTTTTCAGGCTGTTTGTGGAAAGAAGAAAGTTTTCAAGTTGGTTTGAGAGGGACAAGGGATCCAAGCTGGTTCCCTTGAGCCAAGCTGGCTCCCTTGAGCCAAGCCGGCTCCCTTGAGCCAAGCTGGCTCCCTTGAGCCAAGCTGGCTCCCTTGAGCCAAGCTGGCTCCCTTGAGCCAAGCCGGCTCCCGGAAAAAAAGCAGAATTTGTCATTTTCGAAGAAAATTGAAACCGTATTTACATATTAGAGCAGTGAAGGTGATTGGCAAAGGAGAATGATCAGGAGACGAGGATATGGAACAAGCGAGGGGCCCTCTCGCTAGTCTTGTAACCTTGGCAACACTGTAGGATAGTTATTGCATGCGGGATCTTATTTATGGAGCTGTACACCTGTAATTTATTGCCAGTGTGGGCCCCCTTATTTACGGCAGGCAGATTAGTTACCTGTTGGGGTTGGCATGGCGCTCCAGTTGAATATTGCCTATAGGTGCGGCCATTGTCCCGCTGGCTGTGTGCTGTTTGTGGAGGCCTTTTGTTAAGGGAAATGGGGCTTGTATAGTGTTAAATGGCGCTCGTTCGGTGTGTAATGTGTGTTTGGACTCGTTTGTTTGTTGATGGGCACACGTGGCCACGACAGGTGGGCCCAAGCACGTACCCATTGCACGTGCACGTGCGTACACGTGCATATACCTGCATATGCACGGACGGGCGCGCTCGTAAACTCAACAGGAAAATGAGAGGTTATGAGTGGCGTGTTGGTCTACACATTGCCTCATCGAGGAGCATTAGAGGTGCTGGGAATATTGTGAGGAGTCCTCCTCACTCTCCACCCCCCCCCACTCTTACTTCTTCCTGCTTCCTCCTCCTCCTTCTATCCTCCTCCCCCCTACTTCACTCTTCTACGTCCCTACTTCCTCCCTATTTCTTCACCGTTCTTTCTACTACTTTATCCTCCTCCTTCTCTTCCTACTTGCTGTTCCCTCCTCCTTCCTCTCGTCACATGAACGAATAACCGAGGTGGAGCATATCATGGTTACCAGGCTATACCCGTGTGCCTCCATGGATGTGGTCCAACCATGGACCGCTGCAGTGGTGACCTTGTCCAGCGAGCACCATCACTCTGGCCTGTGATGACCTGTGACCGGTAATCACCGTGACTTAACTACCGTAACCACACAGTCAAATGATCTCCCGTCTTCCACAGCAGCGGAGGACAGAAGAAAATGTGTATATGCTGGTTAGCATTGTTAGTGTGTGGTAACGTCCAATGGGACTGGCCACAGTCCTTATGGGGGAGGACTAACGTCCAGTGGGACTGGCCACTGGACGTGGACACTAAGGACAAACGAGACAGGCACAGGATACATAAACAACAAACACATTCTATTTTCCCTAAGCAAAGACACGCGGACACAGAAAGGACCAACTAACGGACACATTTTACCTTCCCTAAACAGGCAGGGACACGGGATATGCGAGCCAGACACGTGGAGCAATTGATAAACATGACCTTCTCTAAGAGGAGCCTCACACCACTGAAAATTCAAGGTAAACATTTACTCTGCTGCTTACATTCTCTCACTCACACACGGCTCTCGTCAATGCCTTCTGCTCCTCCTCATATCTCTTACCCTCAACATGCTACATATTTACTTCCCCATCTACCTATCCCCAATCCTTCCAATCTACCTATCCCCCCAATCCTTCCAATCTACCTATCCACTTTTAACCCCCCACCGTCACAGTCTTCACTTCATCTTCATTCCTCACTCCTCTCCATCTTTCTCACCCTCCGTCCCTCCCTATCCCCCCAGCCCCTCCCACCGTCCCCCCTCCTCCATCCCAGCCCGTCCCTCCCGTCCCCTGGGACAGAGATAAACAGACTCAACAACCACTAGCCATACTCGCGTATACCGGGAAAGAGCGAGCCACGCTATATTTTAGCGTCAGTGATATCTGGCTTCACCTGTGTCCTGATAACAGCCCGCCTGCTTATGGGGGATTGAACTCTCTGGCTGTAGGGTTAAGTCCTCTCCTTGGTTGTTGGACTCTTCTCTTGCCAGAGTGCCATTATATATATATATATATATATATATATATATATATATATATATATATATATATATATATATATATATATATATATATGTCGTACCTAGTAGCCAGAACGCACTTTTTGGCCTTCTATGCAAGGCCCGATTTGCCTAATAAGCCAAGTTTTCCTGAATTAATATATTTTCTCTAATTTTTTTCTTATGAAATGATAAAGCTACCCATTTCATTATGTATGAGGTCATTTTTTTTATTGGAGTTAAAATTAACGTAGATATATGACCGAACCTAACCAACCCTACCTAACCTAACCTAACCTATCTTTATAGGTAAGGTTAGGTTAGGTAGCCGAAAAAGTTAGGTTAGGTTAGGTTAGGTAGGTTAGGTAGACGAAAAACAATTAATTCATGAAAACTTGGCTTATTAGGCAAATCGGGCCTTGCATAGTAGGCTGAGAAGTGCGTTCTGGCTACTAGGTACGACATATATATATATATATATATATATATATATATATATATATATATATATATATATATATATATATATATATATATATAATAAAATGTTAAATATGACTGAAAAGGTAAGATTAATAATTCTAACACGAATTTTCTCAATGTTTCTTACGTTTCTTTTCACTGTCGATGGTAATTGAAAAATCAGTTCTCCCAAATTCATTTTTATTTCTAGTCTGACGCGACGCTTGAACGCGTTTCGTAATAACTTATTACATTTTCAAAGACTTTAGTTTACACACACAACTGTAACCTGTAAACCCACATCCATACTTATACTCGCATTTGGGTGAGGTGATTGACATTTACACAAGACAGAACAGGAACCAATGGGTATTAAAACATAAGGATGAAAGTAACTGCAGAAGGCCTATTGGTCCATAGCATCAACACTTCCTCTTGATGCCTCTATATTGGTTCGAAGTCTTGAAGTGGGTAGAATATAGTTGTACATTAATTGACTGTTGATTGCTGGTGTTGACTTTTTGATGTGTAGTGCCTCGCTGATGTCAAGCCGCCTGCTATCGCTCTATCTATTGATGATTTCTGTGTTTAAGATTTCTCTGGCGATGGTCTGGTTGTGAGAAGAGATTATATGTTCCTTGATGGACCCCTGTTGCTTATGCATTGTTAGTAGCCTGGAAAGAGACGTTGTTGTCTTGCCTATATACTGAGTTCTTTGGGGCTTACAGTCCCCAAGTGGGCATGTGAAGGCATAGACGATTTTGGTTTCCTTCAAGACGTTCTGTTTGGTGTCTGGAGAGTTCTTCATGAGTAGGTTGGACTTTTTTTTGGTTTTATAGTAAATTGTCAATTGTATTTTCTGATTTTTTTTCTGGACTAAGACAAAAACAGGGACCTCTGTTGGTCCCTGGCTAGGATACAGGATAAGCCCCCACTTTGCTGGATCTCAGCTGAGATGAATATTGGATTAAGGATATCCACTTTGCAGGCCCCCCCCCCCCAGCCAGGATGACGAGGATGAAGGATAAACCCGCCCTGCAACCATCCCCCCCATCCCCCAATCCTCCCGAACACCCCCCCCCCAGAACAACACAAGACTGGCAAACGGTTTATATCCAAGTCTGAGCAGCATACATACGACCGAATTATGGTCCGAGACTGGACGGTTCTTCAATTGGTCCGAGTTCAATAAGATTTATTTAACTTTTCCCCCCCTTAAGAGATTTGTGGGTCTGTTTTTGGGTGTAATAATTCTTTTTTTGGGGGGAGGGGAGGGGGGGGTGGGAGGGGGGGGGATCGTGGGTGCGGGCGGGGAGGGGGGAGGTCGTGGGTGCGGACGGGGGTCGTACCTAACTTGACCATACCTCTGTCGCCGCTAGAATCAAATGCCCAACGAAGCTAGGCAGAGGCGCCTCGATTCCCGGACCATCGTAGCGACAGACCTGCCCCTGCAGGCTCCTGACGATCCTCATCTTTCACCGGCCATGTCCCGCCAAGGTAATTCCACACACCGGGGTCGCCGCGGGAGTTCGAGTCCTTAGTGCTATCATTCTCCGGAGAGATTTAGGAAGTGTGTCCGTGGCTCTATATGGTGGTCCTTCAAGCCGGATCAAGTGATGCCGGTTACCCCATAATCCGAACATTTAATTCGCATGTTTGGTCGATTGGATTATAGATGTGAAGCATTTAACCCCCCAGTATTTGCGTTCCTCGTCTGATTATAGAGAATGTGCAATTAGTGTTTAAAGAAAATAAGTTCCTTGAAGTATCTAAGACAGTTCGAGGTTAAAGATGCTTTAAATTTCTCTTCATTTTAGGGATACACGATGGTCCAAGGCATCTTCGTCGCTTTCATAACTGAACCTCACTGGATAACGGATTATTGGTCACTTTCACTATCCTCCTGGTACAAGTTGATATCGTTGTCACCTTCATTACGTAATCTGTATACATGGACGGTACTCAAGGTCTCAGTTGCCCCAGGCGTCAAGGGCCATACGGGTGAGACACTCCCTGTGCGCGCGCGCGTGTGTGTACTCACCTAGTTGTACTCACCTAGTTGTGTTTGCGGGGGTTGAGCTCTGGCTCTTTGGTCCCGCCTCTCAACCGTCAATCAACAGGTGTACAGATTCCTGAGCCTATCGGGCTCTGTCATATCTACACTTGAAACTGTGTATGGAGTCAGCCTCCACCACATCACCCCCTAATGCATTCCATTTGTCAACCACTCTGACACTAAAAAAGTTCTTTCTAATATCTCTGTGGCTCATTTGGGCACTCAGTTTCCACCTGTGTCCCCTTGTGCGTGTTCCCCTTGTGTTAAATAGACTGTCTTTATCTACCCTATCAATCCCCTTCAGAATCTTGAATGTGGTGATCATGTCCCCCCTAACTCTTCTGTCTTCCAGCGAAGTGAGGTTTAATTCCCGTAGTCTCTCCTCGTAGCTCATACCTCTCAGCTCGGGTACTAGTCTGGTGGCAAACCTTTGAACCTTTTCCAGTTTAGTCTTATCCTTGACTAGATATGGACTCCATGCTGGGGCTGCATACTCCAGGATTGGCCTGACATATGTGGTATACAAAGTTCTGAATGATTCTTTACACAAGTTTCTGAATGCCGTTCGTATGTTGGCCAGCCTGGCATATGCCGCTGATGTTATCCGCTTGATATGTGCTGCAGGAGACAGGTCTGGCGTGATATCAACCCCCAAGTCTTTTTCCTTCTCTGACTCCTGAAGAATTTCCTCTCCCAGATGATACCTTGTATCTGGCCTCCTGCTCCCTACACCTATCTTCATTACATTACATTTGGTTGGGTTAAACTCTAACAACCATTTGCTCGACCATTCCTTCAGCTTGTCTAGGTCTTCTTGAAGCCTCAAACAGTCCTCTTCTGTTTTAATCCTTCTCATAATTTTAGCATCGTCCGCAAACATTGAGAGAAATGAATCGATACCCTCCGGGAGATCATTTACATATATCAGAAACAAGATAGGACCGAGTACAGAGCCCTGTGGGACTCCATTGGTGACTTCACGCCAATCGGGGGTCTCACCCCTCACCGTAACTCTCTGCTTCCTATTGCTTAGATACTCCCTTATCCACTGGAGCACCTTACCAGCTACACCTGCCTGTCTCTCCAGCTTATGTACCAGCCTCTTATGCGGTACTGTGTCAAAGGCTTTCCGACAATCCAAGAAAATGCAGTCCGCCCAGCCCTCTCTTTCTTGCTTAATCTGTGTCACCTGTGTGTGTGTGTGTGTGTGTGTGTGTGTGTGTGTGTGTGTGTGTGTGTGTGTGTGTGTGAGTGAGTGAGTGTGTGAGTGAGTCCGTAAGAGCAGCGTCCTCCAGGGGAAAGCACCAAGGTCTGCATAGGAAATATTCAAGCTATTTTTTTTGTTTGTGGGTTAGTGCAGTTCACGGGTTAAGGTGTGTGTGTGTGTATGTGGGGAAGGGGGCAGAGCACACATGTGCCTTCCCCATGTAGAATGGTTATA